AAATGATAACAATTACCCAAAATAGCAGACGTGTTACTCCAGAGCCCGAGGAATGGCCACGGGAGGAGAGGGCGTGGGACATCACACCGGGTTTGGAGACCAGGACCGGGGAGAGGAGAGGGGTGGAGAACAGGGAGGTGGCCCGAGCCCGAGGGTCCGCGAAGGGCCAGGATGGAGAGGGGCGGACGAGGGTGGGGGACACAAGGTGTAGGGAATAGGCGGTGGCTGTCCAGGCAGCGGGACGCGGGGCGGGACGCAGGGGTCGCGGAGCGCCGGGCCCTCACCGCTGCTGAGCGTGGACTCGCAGTGCCAGATGTCCAAGCTGGCGGGTTTCCGGCAGGACTCCCACAGGGACAGGTAGTACTGATGGTCGGCCGTGACCCAGGCGGGACTCAGCACGGCCCCCAGGTCCAGACACAGCGCCAGGAAGATGCACACCAGCCCGACCAGCTTCAGCGGGGTCAGCACCGACACGCGCACCTCCTCCATGCCGCTGCCCGCCGAAGCCATGCCCCGGGCGTCGCAGCCGGCCGGCCCCACCGGAGGGCAGGACACCAGGCAGGTCCGGAGAGCCGGGAGCCGGACTTTTCTCGGAGGGCAGCAACTGAGGCGCCGCGCGCGGGTACTCGTTCCTTCGGGGCTCTGCGCGCTTCCCGCTGCGCCGAGAAGATGGGTCTGCTGGGCAGCCGACCAGGGAAGGGGTCGTGATTCTCCGATCCCACTGCCAGCGCAGCACTGAGATCTGCCCGTGCCCACTCCGCCCAGGCTGGTGCCCAGATGTCGGAGGGGGCGCGGGGCCGGGAGGCTCTCAGGGTCTGCACCTGTGTGGCTTCAGGATCCGGCTGTGGCTTCTGGCTGAGAAGCTCATGTCCACACGACCCTCAGCAGGTACTTGTCCCCCTCTCGTATATCTCATGTAAGTGTATGCATAAAATACTTTGGCTTAAGACTCATCCAACTTGTGGCATGTATCAGAATTTAATTTCAACTAAGGCTGATGATTATTCCACTACGAAATTATATCTATATCTATCTATATCTGTATCTGTATCTATATCTATATCTCACAGTTAGTTAAACCATTCACCTGTCAGTGGACATTTGGGTTGTTTCCATCTTTTGGCTCCTGTGAATCTTGCTGCTTCAAACACTCATGTACAAATATCTCTTCAGGTCCCTAATTTTAACTATTTGGGGTGTGTACCCAGAACTGTAATGATTCCATCATATGGCAATTCCATTCGTCATGCTTTGAAGAACTACTGTATACTGTTTTACATAGCAACTGCACCATTATACTTTCACAACAATGTGCAAAGTTTCCAATTTCTCCACATCTTTGCCTACACTTATTTTCTACTTTGTTTTTTATTGTAACCATCCTAATGGATGAGAAGTGGTACCTCCTTGCGGTTTCAACTTGCAATTCCCTAATGATTGGTGATGTTCAGTGTTTTTTCATGTCCTTATTCACCATTTATTTATCTTTCTTGGTGAAATTTCTATTCAAGTTGTTTCCCCATTTTAAAATCGGGTGTTTTGTCGTTTGTGTTGTCAAGTTTTACATGTTCTTTCTACATTATGGATATCAAGTGCTTATTAGATATATGATTTGTAAATATTTTCTCTTTGCCTTCTCACTCTCTTGATACTGTCCTTTGAGGCACATAAGCTTTTAATTTTGATGAATGGCAACTTACCTAGTTTTTCTTTTTTTGCGAGCTCTTTTGATGTCATATCCAAGAAATCATTGCCAAATCCAGTAGCATAAAGCTTCCCCCATGTTTTCTTCTGAGTTTTATAGTTTTAGCTCTTACTGTTAGGTCTTTGGATGATTTTGAGTTAATTGTGTATATGATGTAAGGTATGGGTCCAGCTTCATTCTTCTGCATGTGAATATCCAGTTTTTCCAGCACTATTTGTTGAAGAAACTGCTTTTTTTTCCCCACAGAATGATACAGTTTTGAATTACTAAACTAGTTGATAACTTGGGAAGTCAGGAGGAGGGAAAGTCTTCATATCTTGTTTGCCTCATCAGAACCCACATCTGTCCCACATCTCTGTAAGGGTCATCTGTCTCTCCTCCCTCCATCTGCTCATTCAGTAGATTTCATCCCTAGTGCTCTAAAACCTTGCTACTCAAAGTGTGTTCCACAGACACCAGCAGTACTGGCATTATTTGGGAGTTGCTAGAAATGCAGGTTCCTGACCAGACCCCAGATCAACTTAATCAGAATCTGTATTTTAATGGGATCCTTAGTGATTCATGTACAAGTTAAAGATTGAGAAGCACTCAAGGCCTCCTCTTAGCCCTTTGTTGGGCTCAACTTCTACTAACAGTAGTCATATCCAGGCAGATGGGAGAGAGTAAAACTTCACCATTTTGTACCGTATTCTTCAACACATTACCCCACATGTCCACCTCCCAGCAGGCTCTGTTTGCCACTCACTTGGTCCAGTTTGCAATGGTGAGTCAGTTTGTTTGTTGCAGCTGGCATCAATATTCTAGACTCAGTGGTTCTCAACCACCTTGCTCTCTTATGCTCCCACTTTTGAGAGGTTTGATTCTCCCTGTATCTCGTGCATCTGGTTATGTGTTAACTGATGGATGAAGATGAATGATGATGCCTTTCCAAGGGCACCTCAGATAGCCACCTTGAAGATTCTGAGCGAGGGTGGACTTCAGAATGGTGGTGTGAGGAGTTTGAGGAAATCTTATCCCTGAAGATACATTGATGCCCCTGGTGAAATTGGCCTAGACGATCATTCAAAGTCTCTAAAGATCCATCAAAAGACTTACAACAAAGTGGGAAGCATTTATTTAACTAAGTGTATGAAAACTAAGCAAGAATGGTGGGAGGCCATGGCATTCAAACTGGAGAAGGTACCCAGGCCCCCATAGTTGTGCCTTGTATAATAGTGGTGTCAGTGGACTGAGCACCTGAGGGCAGCTCCCATCGTCCTAATTTATGGAGTGGGTAAGCTCTTCTGAATGGAAGATCACTGGTTTTCATGCATGGCATAGAATCAGGTTGATGAACACCAGTCTTTTTTTTTTTTTCCAACTATCACCTTGGAGTGAAATAAGCAAAGCTGGGATTTCTTATAACTCACTGTCTTTACTTGACAAGATGTCCCAAATTTTAATAAAGCAAGAAGGATGAAGTAGAATCATACACACATTCAGTCATATTCTGAATTCTGAAACACATTCAATATGTTCTCTTCAGTGCCTATTAAAATAAATTTTTAGTGGTTTGAATGTTTTTACCAATTCACTGTCATTTTCATTTCAATATTTGAACACTCTTTTGGTCATAGGTTTTAAGATTTTGTGTGTGCCTTCAAGGGGGCTGCATCGACTTCCATAAATTTAATGGATGGGCACCGCCAATGCTCATGATCCCCCTGGAATATCATTTTTATTTTCTATATTAGAGACAGGCTTTTTTTTTTAAGAGAAAGGAGCAAGATGTTTACAGAGGAAAACCAAGTTTGGTTTTCACTTGTTGCTTACGTTTCTGAGTTCAGTGTCAAATAATTTGAGAGAAAATAGAGATAAAAGTTGTATTTTCAAATACAGTATAAAATAATTTATTCCATGCTTTCTGTTTCTACGTTCATTTATGATATATTTTAAATTCATGATCTTTCCTATTTTCTTTTGCTCCATGTTTACTCCTAAGCCCCTATATGAAGTAGCGGGGGAAGGGAGAGAGATGGGGAGCAATAGAAATGAAAAGGGCATTTTTTTGAAGACTTTTTTTTGGAGAATTAGGTTTATTTTTAATGGAGGTGCTGGGGATTGAACCCAGGACCTCGTGCATGCTAAGCACATGCTCTACGACTGGGCTATTTACCCTCCTCCGAAAAGGGCATTTTAAAATAAAGTGTACACAATTTACTTTTTCTCATTTAAAAAAATTACTCTTTTCATTGCTTTTGTTTGTTTGTTTCTGTCACATTTAGTCTCTCACAGGATCTACTTACAGACTGTTTTGGGAATAAGACAGCAGTGACTCAGATTTTCTGAAAACACACACACTTCATTCAACCCTTTTCTTGCCCTGGCTTTAGGAATTGCCTTTCTCTCTAACTTCAGACTTAATCTTTTAGACTTTGCAGTTGTTACAGAAAACACACATACCAAGCTCACGTTTTGTAGAGCATGATCTGAATAATAAAATAAACAAAGAATGTGTAAGACTACTATATTAACCAGGGGTGAGTGATGACACCTGGCATGCAGGACTTTTTTAAAATTTATTTTTGTTATAATCAGTTCCAAAATGTCATTATTCTTGGCCATCTGCTGTATGGTAAAAATAATCTTGTTTTACAGAAGGATCCTTCTAATTTGCATTGATTAAAATAAGGATCTTAGACCTGTGTAGCCTAAACATTGCATTGTATTATGTAATATATGCAAAAGTCTTGAAATAGGCTGTAAATGCTGTTTCCTCTCCATTTCCTCTGCAGCCCCCCCCCAGGAGCCCCAAGAGATTCCCTCTTCTAGAACAGCCCTTCAGTGGGTGCAGTTGTTCTCACCATTCTATAGGGAGATCACTGAAGTCCTGAAAGAAGTGAGAGACCATAAATGTCAGGGCACCGTGCTCTCCAGTGCAGGTTTCTTTTATACTGAAATACTTTATATGGTATCTAATGTATCATGAGCTTGTTTAACAAAGCTCGGTCTACTCAGCTGGTTCACCTAATTAACAAGTACCTTCTACTGTCTCTGTCAAGCAAGCCGGCTGACGAGAAGGGCAGACTCAAGGCTGAGGGCTAGTAGGCTACTCTTTTGTTGGTCCACTCCCATGGGGAGGTGAATGTTTACCAAGAATGGTCTGTGTTTGTTATGAGATTCCTTACAGTGCTTGTACATGTTCTGGTAACTGAATAATTTAATTAAGATGTAAAAGCAATACCAGCAGTATAAGAGAGAATAGGTAATACTTAAAGCTAAGTTGAATACTTTGGTATGATTGCATAAAGGTGAGAAAAAATATTGTCCAACTAAATGTGGGAAAAACAATGTGAAAAATTATAAATGACATGAAAAAAATCTAGATGGTGTCTAATTCCAGGTTAACTCCTCAGTCTTGAATTCATTATGCACTTAAAAATAATCTGGAGGGGTGGGAATAGCTCAGTGGTAGAGTGCGTGCTTAGCATGCACAGTGTCCTGAGTTCAATCCCCAGTGCCTCCATTTAAAAAAATAATAATAATCTAATAGATAATCTGAATAGGCCTCTTGTCTATTAAGAAAATCGAATCAATAATTAACTTTCCAACAGAATGCCCTGTGTCCCAGAGGGTTCCCTGATGAACTCTACCAATTCGGTTAAGGAACAAATTAGATCAGTTGTCTACAGTCTCTTCCAGAAGATAAAAGCTGAGGGAATGCTTCCTAACTCATCCTGTGGGGCCAGCATTATCCTAATACCAAAGGCAGATGAAGACATTCCAAGAAATGAGCACACCAGCATCTCTCATGAACATACAGGCAAAAATCCTCAACAAATATTAGCAGATCAAATATAATAATGTATTAAAAATATTGTTTATCAAGACCAATTTGGTGTAGGTAGGCCTTTATAGGGTGTTGTGTCCAAATCACCATAAATATTGTAAACAATTTCCCTCTCTCTAGAGAAGCAAGTGCACAAGAGTTCACCTCCAAGCAAACTGCCAACCCTAAAATAAATTTGTCTCACAGTCACGTTTTTAATTACAAAAAACAGCACGCTTACAAAAAGACGCCTATGAATTTAACCAGTAACAGTTAAATGAGTGCTGCATGCCTGACACCAAATTTGAAGCAGAATATTATCAGTACCTCAGAGTCTCCTGTCTGCTCCTCACTGATCTCCCTTCCTCTGTTCAAGAGTGACTCCTCGTCCAAGTGCACATTACTTATTCTGCTTTTATCCTATATGTTGAGCATATAAACAATTTGTTACTCAGTTTTACCTAATTTAGTGTTACATGAATGTAATCCCAGAGCATGTCTCTTTTTTGAACTTCATACTGATACATGCAGCTGCTGGACATTAATTTTTTCTGTTGTATAATATCCAGTGCGTATTCTTTTCCAGTGAAGAAATTATTTCATTCTCTCATGGAAGACCATGTGGGCGAATTCCACTTTTTGCCCTTAAGGACAGTGCTGCTCAGGACATCCTGTGAGCACTGCTTTGCACATGTGTGTGAGCGTTACCTCCTAGAGAATGGAACTGTGCCCCATCACGTGTGCTCCTGTTCACCACGTGATACCAGTCTCTTCCCCAGTTTGGACTTCTACTCACACCATTTTGGTTGTTCCATTTCTCCATGAACACTTAGTATTTTCGGAATGTTTGATTTTTGTAGGTTCTCTTTTTGAGGTTTGATCATCTATTCTGGCATATCGGTACTAGCAGACTGTCAGAACAGTGATGGTATAAAATCACCCTATTTCTGTTTACTAAGGAGAGCCAGTATGTTGGCCTCATTCCACTTTTACAGCATTGCTTTCAGCCTAGAAAATGTCAGCTGATGATTCTGTGGGGAAATACCAAATTATTTGATGTTAGTAGAGCCTGTTAATTTGAATATTCCTAGCTAAAGGGACAGTTTCCAGAAAATGGCATCAATATCCCACACAGGAGTGAGCATAAATATTTAGAGACACTTTCCCGGTGAAGGATTATAGAGACTGCTTTAAAATTAGAGTGCACAATGCAATTTTAATTTTTTCTATCTCACTTATATTTCACAGAGTTCTTTTGTATTCTAGAGGCTAGATGTCTTATAAAATTGAAATATGTTCTTTTCATCTGTATTTATACCTACAAATAGAAATTTTAAGAGGTTAAAAGTGTATCAGTCTAGATTCAAGAATATGGGGAAAATAAAATTCTTTTTTCACTTGACTTTTTTCAACACGAAATAACTTTCATTGCCACTTTAATGTAAAGAAACATTGGTGAATATGCAACTGATGTTTAAGGCATGATTAATAGCACTGTCTTTTCTATAATAATTTATTACAGAAATTGGTTTTAACACATTCAAGAGACTTGTGAATAATCTATGCAGTGCCATTTTATAAATGCTTTAAAACAGATGATAGCATATTATTAGAAACTGCTTCAAACATGAAGGATAAAAAATCAAGCCTCCTAATGATTAACTTAGAATCTATGTTCTTATTATTCAAGTTGCTTTTATCATCTCTAAATGTTACCTCCAATTAAAATGCAGCTGCCATTTGTTATTTATTTTTGCCCACAAGTAAGATGTGAGACAAACTCAGAGACAGGAGAGGTCCTCAAAGCAGGCAGAGAAAGACATATATTGAACAAACACCAAGTTTGACAACGAAGAGTGAAGGGACAATTGAATTTTCTGGAGACTGAACTCCAAAGGCCATGATTCTCAGTTTTAAGAAAATGTTCAAGTGTAGTCTTGGGGAAATGTGGAAGGAAATTAGTGCTTAGCAAAATTTGTTCATATTTTACTAAATGCTTTAAAGCAGTCTGGTAGCTTTAAAAAGACTCAAGTCTTTGAACACAGGATACAAAGTGTATAAATATATATATACACACACTTACTTTTAAATTGACGGATAGTCAGTTTACAATATTGTGTCAATTTCTGGTGTACAGCACAATGCTTCAGTCATACATGAATATACATATATTCGTTTTATATTTTTAAGTTTGATCTTTGTAAATTACACTTGGCCCAGAAGAGAGAAAATGTTTTGAGTATTTTTTCCAAGATATGGACAACTTTAGAGTTTACATAGGAAAGCATTTCATCTGGTCAAATAGAGATTGGATTGAGAGAGGGGAAAAGTTTTTAAAGGCAAACTGCAAAACAAACACCTAGAGAAGCAGGTCAGTAATTGCCTTGGGAATTCTTTCACTTGGAAATAATTTCTTTCTACTTAGAGTCATGAAGACAAGGTAATAGGCTACGCCCCTCCACAACTAGAAAGGAGAAACCAGAGGCCACATTCAGGTTAGAACAGGCTGATTTTGAGATAAGCTCTGAGCAAAGGTAGTCACAGTGTGGAATGAAGTAATGGTCCAGGTGGGTGTTCCAGCACCTTATCTCATCCTCTTGAATGGGAGCTTCCCTGGCTGGGGGGCTGGCTGTGCCATATTCTCTCCACTGTCTGTGTGGTCACCTTATCCCCTCGCGTGAACTGAGTACCATCAAGAGGCTGATGTCTCCCATATGTATATTTTCAAACCTGACTTCCCACCTTGTTACTGAACCAAACTTAGGTCTCCCTGCCTGATGCGCAGTGAAGTCAGTCTACTGGCACCAGGTTGTGGTGAAGTAAGTACAGCATTTATTACAGGCCAAGCAAGGAGAACCAGCATGTCATGCTGGAAAGATCTGAATTCCCCAGTGGCTTTCAGGAAAGGATTTTTAGGGACATTGTGAAGACTAGGCTCACAATGTGTATGATCAGCTTGTGCTCATTCTCGGATTGGTTGGTAGTGAGATAACAGCAAGATGTTTCAGGAATCTCAATCATCAGCCTTCTGGTTCTAACCATCCTGGGTTCTACATGCTTGTGGTCAGCAGGCAGTTAACATTTTCCACTGGGTGGGATTTGAGTATCTGCAGAACAACTCAGGGATATGTTCAAGATATTATCTACAGCCATTGAAGAGGAAGTAAAGGTCCTTGACTTGATTTTATGGCTCAGCTATTATTATCTGGTCTTCCTTGACTCTTTTCCTTTGTTTCTCCATTTTCTCATTTCTGTGATTAAATTTGCTCTTTGGAATTCAGGGAAGGCCTAGAAGGCTCAAGCTCTTCTACAAACAAGAGGAGGACACAGTGGGATCTGTTCCTAGGAAGGCCCCAAAGGGTCCTGCCTGATTTCCACCTGAGCTCCAGATTCAGTTTTCTGGCTACCTGCAAGACATTTCCACTTGCATATCTAATAGGCATCTCATAATTTATATGACATGCCTTTCCCCATCCTTTTTGGCTCCCTGCCAAAGTCCCCAGATTAATGAATAGCAACACCTTGAACCCAGGTATTCAATTGCAAACCCTCAACCCTGCATTATTTTCCCAATTTCCCATTGCTCACCTTTGGCCCATAAACAAAGCTTATCTCATGTCCAAAATCCATCTGGAATTTGTGCAGGTCTCTTCATTTTCTCCGTGACCACCACAAGTGAAGCCACCATTGTGTCTCTGGACCTGCTCCAGTATCTCCTAACTTATCTCCCAGCCTCCACTCTCCTGCTCCCCTGACATTCTTCAAAGCAATGAGAATCCTGGGTTTCATTCAGGGAGATTTATTCTACTTTATATTCAATAGCACAAATTTGATCTTTGCCATGACCTTTAATTTTTCAGCCCTTCTGATGAGGTAGTTTGAGGTTTTTGTGGTATTCTCTTCCTTTAGTGGAAGAAAGGGTACAATGGAAGGAAAAATACACATCTTTGGATGTTTTGTACGGGCAATATGCATAACTGGCAGGGTGACCTTGGAAGTCACTGCATCTATGGGAACGTCAGCTAAGGCTCAGTTACCATTATCCCTGTTGGCAGGGGTGAGACTGTCAAGGAGGGACTCTGCATACCTGCTTCTAGGACCCCCAGGCTGCTGCCCAGAAGCAACACGTGCTAACATTTCTTAATGAGCTAAACGTTTTCAGCTCAAGTTGAAGACACCCTTTATTTTACTTCCTGTCCAACCCCACTCTTCACTTCTTAAGAGTTCACCAGTATTATAAATTCCATACTGTGTTTAAGTATAATATTACCACACACAGGTGTCACGTAGACTAGGACCGCAGATGACCCCTCCCCCACCCACTCACTCCTTGTTCATTAGGGGAATACTGCTTTTGTATTTTCCATGGTCCCAGGCAGTACCTTCTCCGTCCATCTGTGGAGACCCTGAGCTGCATGTGGATGGGGCATGGGTGCTGGAGAGACTCCTGGATACCTGTTTTAAACTTACAAAGTGAGAGGTGTGCACACGTGAATCAACCAGAGACCTTTATTTATTTAAGAATCAATAACTTTATTGGAAGAAATGGTAACAATGAAAGAAGAAAAACTTAAGTGAACTTTTTTTTGCAAGGGCAATATTGCCGTATGCATGCCAGGCAGGGGGACCTCGGGAAGTCACCCCGTGACCACGGGGAACTCCAGTCCAGGCTCAGTTCTTGTCACTGTCGCCCAGGGTGAGCTTGTCGAAGAGGTACTCTGCCATGCCGACTTCCGGGGCCCCCATCTTGCGCAGGGTGGTGATGTGGTCCCCCAGCTCCTTGATGAACTCGACCTGCTGGTTCAGGCAGTGGCTCTGCAGGAAGTGGCACAGGTGGGCGTCGCTCTTGTCGCTGGCCAGCTGGTGCAGGTCGAGCAGGCTCTGGTTGACGCGCTTCTCTAGGAGCAAGGCGCACTGCACGGCCCGGAGGCCGCTCTCCCAGGCGTCGCAGTCTGGCTTCCTGATGTCGTGGAAGCAGAGGCGGCCCCCGCGCTGGTTCTGCAGGGGCATCAGGCTCTCGGCCCGCTCCCCCAGGTGCCGCGAGCGCCGCAGGAAGAAGCGGGCCAAGTGCTTCAAGGCCACGTCGTCGCGGTCGAAGTAGAAGGCCATGGCCAGGCACACGTAGGAGGCGTGGAGCTCCAGGGTGACGTGGCTGTTGATGGCGGCCTGGCGGTCGGGGTGGTAGTTCTGGCGCCCCTGCGAGGGCCCCGCGGGCATCACGGCTGGCGGCGTGGGCGTGGCAGGCTTGAAGCCCAAGGCGAAGGCGGTGCCGAAGCGGGGGCTGCCGGGCCGGCAGCGGCGG